TTGATTTTTTGTTTTTGGAAAAATCTCTTATGCCCACTAAGGCTGCATTTATTTGATCAAAAATACTGTAAAACAGTAATATTGTGAAATATTATTGTATAGTAATATTATTCATTTAAACAAACTGTTTTCTATTTTAATATATTTTAAAATATATTTTATTCCTTTGATGGCAAAGCTGCCATTACTCCCAGTCTTCATCATGAAATATAAAAAGGATGTAATAATAAAAATAAAAATAATGTGCATTAATATCAAATAAGCATTCAACAAATTACTGAAGATATACAATTAATGACGATGATATACAAATAGCAGCTATGGTTTCACTCTCTCTGTCTCTCTCTCTCAGGTACGTACCTGACTCATGAAGCGAAAGGTTCCGACGATGCTCCGGATGCAGACACGGCCATCATTAACGCTGAGGGTGGCCACTCTGGGGTGGATGACAAGAAAGAGTACTTCATTTAGAGATCCATCCCTCCGCTCCCTCTTCCTTCACACGCTTCAGTTCACTCAGCCTGACGGGGAAAAACGGGGATGGCAGAGAGAGAGGAAATATGTGAGGAAAAAAAAACAAAACAAGTGTTGACCTGTTCGAACTGAAGGACCTCAAATAAGCTTCGACACACAGGACAGGGAAGTGAGAGTTACGCACTGGCATGTGGGCTCATTTTCACACACACATACACACACACACACACACCCATACACACATACTATTTCTCCATTACCATAATGACACATGAGAAAACACACTTGAGACATAAATAATAAAAAGAGGCAATATGACAGTGACCACACATTCCTCGTCTCCCATGACTCCTTTCAATCGGTCCAGATGTACTCTGGCACATGTTGCACAGTGATATGTGCATGCATGAACTTTCAGGACACATGGTCTGCTCCCAAAACCATCGAAAGACACAGACTCATAACAGGCATGCATGCAAACACACACCGAACATCAAGTGTCTTAAATTCTTAAAATTTAATTTAAACCATGCAACCCTGCAATATCACTGACAGATACACACACACACACACACACACCACCTCAGTGTTACACTATCATACACACACACACACACACAGAATAACCAGGCAAAAACAGCAGCCCCTGCAACCATTATGTGGGACCCCCGAAATAAATTTATAAATACATATATATATGATTATATAGCATCATTTTTACTCAGTGTGCTGTAAATATATCCTCCATCTCTCTCTATCTCTCTCTCTAACCTCACTGTCTGATATTGCAGTATATACTCTCTGAGCCTGCCTGGTTTTCTTACATGTGTGGAAATGCAGAGTTGATAAAAAAAAAAAATCTGGACTATGGAAAAAAAAAACATGGTGTTATGAAAACTTCAGTAATATTTGTATGAATTATGTTCTCTTTGAGTTTGATTTCTGGTGTTTACTGTTGGTGCAACAGTCTAGTGTCATTTCATCAACCTGGGAAGATTATTATTATTATGAGGTCCTTAATCTCAATGCATTACATTGTGCACTGATGTGTCATTGTATCAGGCCTAGTGATTCGCTCACTCACGCCACCTTCAGGAATGAATCTTCTCTGTTCTTCAGTGGCGGGACTCTCAGAAAAAGCAGGGTAAAACAAACTACTGCTCTCTTTCTCTCTCTCTCTCTCTCTCTCTCTCTTTCTCTTACTAATCATATTCTCACTTTCTTCCACACCTCTTTCCAGTTTGTTCTTAAAGCTAGATTATTGCTAGACTTACACCATCATTGTAACCACAGACCATAGTGACATTCGAAGGGAGTTTGGGGGTTTAGACGGTTGCATCTTGCAATAAACTGAGACGATTCTATTTAATAAAAAACAGTTGATTAAATCTGGATTTTTAAAGGTGATGTGTGTCATTTTTAGTATGCCAAAATCCTTACTCCTATCCAATCTTAATGTGAATAGACTGTAAATAAGCCATTTGTAGGTTGATTCCCTGTGGCACTATCAAAACACTGCTCTGTTTTTTGAGCATCCCAACCTCCTAACATATAACTTTGGCTCAACCTATGGCATGCAGTCTGATTCAGTTTGGTGGCTCAGAAATTACACACTTTTAAATATGTTGTGCTTAAATTTGTTATTCAGGAATACTGCTTCACTATGTATCCAGCTGATTTTTTTCCCTAATCCATGCAGATCTAGTAACCGATATGATTACAGAAAGTGGCCAGTTGTCATTTCTATATCACCTATTCCTTTTCAGTAGCTATTTACCTAGAGGAGAAGGTTGGAACTGTGACTTGGGTGTTGAGTTATAGTGCTCATGCAAGCAATGCATGTTTGAATCTGGCTTGTGACATTTTTCAATTGTATTACACCTAGACCCTCTTCCAAACATTTATTGTCTTTAAATGGGCAAAAATTTAACATTTGAAGATTTGGTCTCTGAACTTGCGGAACTGGGGAAAAGAGGCAGGTGTGGTTATTTATTGGAAAACTGAGATAAAGTGTTAAGCTGAAAAATAAACGTCATAATTCTGAATAAAAAACGTGTTTTAAATTTTCAGTTTAATTCAATTCACCTTTATTTCACAGTAGAACTCGTTTCAAAGCAGCTTTGCAAGAAATGCACGTTTCAATGATACAATGTCATTTGGCCCCAATAAAAGGGACTCTTAAATCACATCTGCCACGTATATGGAAGTTTAGGCGTGTTTTTGTTCACGTGGGATGACAGGGTCATTCGTTTAATGCGTATGTAGGTCACAACTAAGTGGCAACTGACCGATTACAACCAAAAGCCGTCCTCTACCTTCAGACTCCCTCCACATACCCCATTAATGCCAGCAGACAATGAGTTTGTGAGAAAAGCAGTTACAATCGACTGCCACAAGATGGCGATAATGCATTTCCTCTCTCTCTCTCTCTCTCTCTCTCTCTCTCTCTCTCTCTCCTGTACGAGTAGTAGAACTTCCAGTTAGCTATCAATCAACTCAGTGCTTAATTTTAAATTGTTGTTTACTTTTATTCTGCTGTAGATGTGCATACTGTTGTTTGTAATTTTATGTTCCTTTTATCATTTTTATGGTGACTAAATGTCTTAGATTGGGAGGTGTAGATTATAGTTTCCATGACTTTTGTTTTGTTTGATAATCTGCCATTTTTTATGATTTGATGTGATTAGTGTTGCCTTGAACAGTCTACACACTCAAGTGAGCACAGACACCGGCACACATTTATTGCGCGTCTGTGTTTACATGCGTGGAAGATTTTCACACTGGCCCACCAAACAGATGCAGGAACACTAAAAGTATTATTACATTCTGTTAATGGAGTTATGTTAGATTCATTTTTTTTTTTTTTTTAATGATAAGTCTTCCTTTTGAATAAATATTCATATCATGTGGAGCTATTCTGTCATGTATGTTGATTTGTATTATGGCCGATGATGTCATCTGAACGGGATTGAACTCTGAGATCATCATCATTGTGGGTTCCGTTTGTTTGATGGTCCGTTTAGACAGTATTTGCTTTTTGTTACAAAAGGAGATCCCTTGTTAACTTCAAAATAAATATACATTTGGGGTAACCTAATTTCAGTGGTTATTGTTATAATTATTGAAATGTATTTTAATCCTAAAGAATCCTTAGAATTTTGTTATTTAAAAGTAATATTTACGAGAAAAGTGATCTGTAAAGCGATCTGACCTTATTATTAAAAATAAATTCTACATTTTCAAATATAAAAAAAATCATGCAATATATATATACATACATACATACACACACACACATTTGTAATAACTTTTTTAAATACATAATATACACATGTGGAATATATTTCATATATCTTTTTATTGCCATAAATTTAAAACTCTTGACTTAAAAAAAAACTGTTGCATATTTTCACTGTTATATAGGAATATGGGGCAAGTTGTCACATTGATTTATTTGGATGTTAATTACATTGTGCTAGCTGTCTCTTTAATACCGCGTGGTTTACATACATGTTGCTGCTGATTGGGCTGACATGTTTGACACACCCACCAAACAAGAGAAAACGCATCTCAAACCCCGTTGCACACCGTTTCCAGGAAACATGTCGTTCAAACCGGAAACCGTAGCAAAACGGTGCACACCGGTTTGAACTTGAACTTGCCCCTGCTGTTTACTGACAATAATTTGCGAATACTGAAGATATTAAAAGTATCCTAACTAAATCTACAGCTTATACACCTGTATTTAAAATAAAAAAGGAACAGTACAAGAGTTATTAAAAACAATTCACGAAACAAAAAAAAAAATAGAAAATGCATTAGGGAAAAAAAACAGGCAAGGTGTGGCCATAACACATAGGCTAAAACACATGTGACAACTTGCCCCAACCTGCCATCGTGGAAAAAAATATGTTTGTCGTGAGAGCACAGTTTTAGCCTTCACAGCCTTTTAGTAAAATCTACGTCCATATGAGGGTTTTATTATAGGCTATTCCCTTCCCTATAGGCTGTTTACCCCATTGCTTTTCAAACATATTATAGTATTTGTCATTTTAAATTAGAAAAGAGTGTTAACAAAAAAAATCTGAATTTATGACAGTTGTGTACCAGCCCAGGTGTTTAAAATCAACATGCTAGAGAAATCAAACACTTGCAGTTGGACGAACTGTAGCCCTTGTGACAACCTGCCCCTGTGACAACTAGCCCCGGTCTCCCCTATATATGTATGATGACAGGGAGGCCAATTCTCAACTGTTCCTTATTTGATTAATCATGGTCGTCTGATTGAACAGCCGGCAGATTTTAAAAGGTGAAGATAAGAAATTTTATATCCGCATGTGTATATGATCTGCCGAGCTGTGACATTGAACAGCGTGTAAGGACGACAAACGCAAGAGAGAGAGAGAGAGAGAGAGAGAGAGAGAGAGAGCTCCGTAGGCGCAGTACCGAGCGATTCCTCCGGTGATCTCAGAGCGCTGCGTCTCTCCTCGACAATCAAAAACAGATTTGCTGGAAGAAAGAGATTTTCCAGCGCACATCTCGCCCGCTTCTGCTGAGGAGAAAAGAAGCACGCGCTGAATGAATGAACGCAGACCGAATGACATTCCCAGCACCGGTTCGCGGGGTTTCACAGTGCAGCGTGGAGAAGATGAATTGATGGTGTTTTCTGACTGACAGAGGTGCAGATGGGCTTCAGCATGACTTGCCTCTGGATTTTAACTTTGGCCATCAGTGTTCACAGAGGTAAGACACAAGCCGCCTTCACAAGGAGCCAAATGACTCCGTTCAAGGTGTCTGTCTCTCTGTCACAGCGGAAGGTGTTTTAACTTTGTTACTATGGTAACGCTATAGGTTAAATAGCGCTTTGTTGTATGATCTCGTGTCATGGTTTTTAAATAGTAGGTTATGGACAGTATCACCCTCTGGTGACCTTATGTGCGCGTGTAAATTATTTTAAATGCTGATCTTTTTTTAATTTTTTTTTTAGAGAGAAATCTAAATTTTATAGTCTCAATATATTTCCTTTTTATGGCTGTTATTAATGGCAGCTTGCAGGATTATGTTCGCACCTCTGATCCGCCGCCGCGCACCTCGCGCTTTGTAGTTCAGGGTCTCGTGCCTTCCGTCTTGCTCGCGGTGCGCAGTGGAAAACCGTTATCCGCGGGACGCATTACCGGTGACGGCGGTATTTGACTGGGAAGAAACCACGGCTATAGATGAGGTCCGCGGACGAACGTGACTGTAGTGTAAAGTGTAGCATTGAATGTGAAGTGAAGTGAATATGAATGAAAGGTGGGCTCCGCTTTGCCGTCAAGAATAATAGAAAAAAAAACGTGTTGCTATATATTTGTGTGTGTGTGTGTGTGTGTGTGAGTGTGTATACACACGTAACAGTTAGCCAATTTTTGTATATATATATATATATATATATATATATATATACAAATTGGTTAACTGTAACTTATTACGGTACATGGTGAAAATAATCTTATGTTTTAATACATGCATTTAAATATGTAGAAGTTACATGTTATATGTGTAACACATATGTAAGACAATGCATGTAATTCTAATTGTAATGGTAAAATTAAAAAGAAAAACAGGTTAATAGAAGTGAATATTATGAATTACCTTATAAATTATGGAAAAATTATATTTAGTGTAGTTTTACAGATATTGTTGAAATAATATGTTATTAGTAAGAAAACATTGTGAATTGCTTTATAGAGTATGGAGAAAGAGGCATTCAGAAATCCCTGCGGAAACACTTTTCTTTATAAGTAATACGTAATAATAATTAAGTAAAAATTAAGAAATTAAAATGTAGCCTATTATGTAAAAAGATTAGTTATTTATTATTATTTATTAGTTTCTTTTAGACTGTTGATTGTTGTACAGTATGTTGCTTTTTCCATTATTTAGCTACTGTTTATAGCATTATTTAAATGTTGTTTGTTATTCTGTTGGCGTTTTTTCTTTTGCTCTATGCATTGCATTATTTATGACAGTTGCTGGCCAATTTTGAAAAACATTAAGTCATCATGTTACCTTCTATTATCTTATTATCAGAAGAGCATATACAATTTGAAGGAAAACTAGATCAATTTTGAAATCGCTATTAGACATATAGAACACTGGGGTCCCCAGGGCCCCAAATATAAAGACAGTCAATTCAGTCTCAACAGAACATTAGAGATAATAATAACACAGACATTTTGTGCTTCTTACTTCAACCGGTGTGTCTGCAAAAATCTGTGGATGTGTAGGTGAAGATCAGAGAGTGCGTTCTCTCAGATCTGATACTTGTTAGCAGATTTTCATGTGAAGATGGTGGTATAGAGAGAGAGAGAGAGAGGTGATGAAAGAAAGAGATTGAGGGAGGTGAGACCTGTTTGCAGGAAGTGTCAGCAACTTTCTCTGAAGGAGGGATTCAGAGAAGAGAAAGAGAGAGGGAAAGTGATGGATTGATTGAGAGTGAGAGCACCGAGTGACACAAACATGTTGTGATGGAGGGATAGCATGATGAAGAGATAAGGAGACAGGCCCGACTCAATCTGTCAAGGGAAGGAATGCAAAGGGAGGGAAAAAAGACTGAGGGAGGACAGACGAGAAAATGATGTTATTTTTTAATTAGTCTGCAGTATTATGTGTTTAACATTCCTAGTGTGATCTGGAGAACCCTTGTGTAAACGTACTGTGACCACACTGTACAGAAGAAAAACGCTGACCTTTTTAGATCTTTGACATTATTTGCTGTTTTTAATGTTCTTTTCAGTGTGCTGTGATGTGAAAACATTTGGTCTTATTCAAAAAAAAAAACAGCAAAATGAACTTGTAGATCGTTCATGAATCCCTTTTTACATAAACTGTCCCTTTGAATTGAACACTCTAAAAAATGCTGGGTTAAATATAACCCAGCGCTGGGTCAAAACAACCCAATAGCTGGGTTTTTCCCTTTTTAACCCAGCGCTGGGTTAAAAAGGGAAAAACCCAGCTATTGGGTTGTTTTGACCCAGCGCTGGGTTATATTTAACCCAGCATTTTTTTAGAGTGAATGCAACAAATTCCATATGAATTATGTTACATACAATTTACACACACGCACAATTTGTATCCATGAAATAGCAGAATCAGAGTTTATTTGGGCCATTCAGGATTTATTTAATTGTAATAATTTAACTTTAGTATTATTAGTCAAGTCAAATTTTTTCACAATTCATATTATTTCAAAGCAGCAGTAATATGCATAAATTCATGATATTAATGTTTATAATATCTCAGTATCTTCATGCCTAACCTCATTTAGCACACTAAAAATTAGCATTTTAAGATGATACAAGCAATCAAGCATTTGAGGTATGCTAAATAATATTGCCCTATAGGCGACAAGGCAAGTCTACAGTAGTATGTGGATATATATATATATATTAGTGCTGTCAAACGATTAATCGCGATTAATCGCATCCAAAATAAAAGTTTTTATTTACATAATATATTTATGTGTACTCTGTATATTTATTATGCATATATAAATACACACACATACAGTATATATTTTGAAAATATTTACATGTATTTATATTTATACATTTTATATTCATATAATTTATATTATATATAAATATATTTAATATATAAAC